GAAGCAGTTAGATAGTACAGGAGTAGAAAATGCTAAAGTGCAAATTCATTCAGACATGCAGTATCAGAATAATAGGGAATGGCAGAAAACAGCACATGAAAATTAGCTAACTAAAAACAGTGGCCAGATAAAATACCTGTCAAAATGCAAGGGCAAATGAATTCTGCAGAGACTAAAGTGGCACAGGAATTCCCCTTTAGTTAAGGTGAGCTTCCAAGAAAAAAACCCAACATTATAAACCTCAATTTTATACTGCTTATCAAAATGTACATTCATTGAATTAACATGAAACCTGACATGTGCCACACAGTGCGGTCTACAGTTTTGCAAATTTTCAAATTCAGCCAATAAAAAAGGCCAGAGATTCAGCATGTCTAAAATGTTGAAAATGAACATCGTCTGAAATTTCACCCCTCCTCATGGGGGGGAGGGGGTAAAAGATGTTCCCATGTCATGGTCCTGATCTAAATTGGGGCAATGCCTGATTACCCTCAAGTGAGCAAGCCAGTTGTGCAAAGCTTGGCCTTCTGTCTGAAGCCAGAATGCTGCCAGAGCTCCAGTTCAGCATTCCCATCAGCATGCTAATGATGGAGAGAGCCGGAGAATGCTGCCCATTGAGAGGGGTAATTTTGAAGGTTGAGGAAATCTCTCTCACTGATAGGTGAATCCCTGCCAAATAATAATTGATGAACCCCTGCCAAAGAGGGAGAGAAAGGGAAGGGGCAAGCTGGAATCCTGCTCAGGTTTACTCAAAAAAGAGACATTTCTGTTCATTTATGCACATGCACCTGGCTGATGATGGTTGACAGGCACATTTTTCAGGATCCTTCTGTGAGCAGAAAATACTACAGGGCTGCTAATATCACTGTTGTGTTCATGCTAATTCTTCTAGGGATCTGTGGTAGAGTGCATGAAAAACGGGTGAATTAAGAGTTAATATTCAAAGGCAGGGGACTTCTGCTGCCTCAGGGCAGCATGGGAAGAGGAACCCTTGTTGGTTTGTACTTTTAAGAGGTTGATTATAGTCAAGGGATTCCAGGCCTCTACTGTTTGGTAACCAAAGAATAAGTCAGAATATAATTGCAGCCCCTATTTGGAACCCCACCCTTCATTATAGATTGCAATCTGCAAATTCCAATATGCTCCAACAAATAGCTCTAGACCTCACTTTTTATTACAATATAGCACAAAGAAGCTTTCTTGAGATCTCAAAATCTCATTCCCTATATTGTGACTTTTTGTTATTCCTACTGGAAATATTACTCTATATTATAGGAACTGAAAAGCTTGCTTGTCCACATTTATTGCTTGTTTGATGTGTATGCCTGAAAGTGTACCTTGAGATGAAATCATGATGACTGTTACTGTGGTATTTATGATTTATGTATTTTATAGATTGTCTTGCAGTAAAGCAGATTCAAATACCTTGGAGAGAATTCACCTTTCCAACAACGAGGGAAAGTTTAAGATCAGAAGTAAGATTATCCCATATTTGTCTGAGCGCCTCACAACCAGGAAATTGGAAGCTCAGGTTGATGCCTTAACCAATGCTGATGTGCATCACAAATTGTGCTTGTTTACAGCTTACCCTTTATGCATCTAGATTTTTCCTTGGTCTTTCAAGCCCTAATCCAGATGTGGGGAGGGTGGCTATCTGGGACCAAAAAAATGCCTCTATTGTTCTGGCCCTGTATCGCCTTAACAAAGACCTTACTCATTGCTAGAGAAAACCTCTTGTGACCTATGGCAGTTTGTTGCATACATCAGTGCCAGGATGGGTGGTTGAACAGTTGAAAAGGGAAAACTTCTCACTGTATGCTGTTGTTACATGCCATCAAGTCATTTCCAACTTATGGCAGCCCCGTAAGTGGATGCCATGCAAAATGCCATGTCCTTGGCAGCCCTGCTGTGTTCTTGCAAACTCAGAGCTGTGTCTTCCTTAATGGAATTAGTTCATCTCATAGTTGGTTCTCCCCTCCTCCTCCTGCCTTCAACTTTCGCTAGCACTATTGTCTTCTCTGGCGAGTCTTGCAGTCGCAGGCTGTGCCCGAAGTACAGCCACCTCAGTTTTGTCATTTTTGCTTCCAAATAGTTGCATTTCTGAACCCCTCTAACGCATCAACATTTCTGGAGAAAAATAACCCTGTATTTGTGAGTCCTGAGGACTAAATAGTATACAAAGAGAGACTGAACACACTTTTAAAAGCAGCCTGGTAGGAGTGAGTCCTCTTCTAGCAATAAGGTCAACTGCTTTGTAAGGGGATTCAGGACCAGCATAGTCTGGAGCTTCTTTGCTGACCAAGAGGAAGTGTGAGTGCATGGAGGATAAGTGGTAAGCAAGTGCCATTTCTGACATTGTATGACAAATGTCACTGATCATGAGGCATGTCAGTTTGGGCATCAGCCTGAGGCTTCTGTACACAAGGCTTAAACCCGAATCTGCTTCAAGTTGCATCACAGAATTGAGATCATCCAAGCACTACAAAGAATGCTTTCCCCCTGCTTTTCTACTATATAATCTCTGAGTTGCATTGTGCATAACAGGATAGAACAAATACATATCAGGAAATTGGGCTTACTTCCACTTTCACCATGATAAATAATACCCAATTTTTCCTGCTCTAAAAAAACCAGGGGGAAATCTCATGGAAAATGCTGTTCACAAGCAAGCAAAGCACTGCCTAAACCATGAGTAGGGAATGACTAGTGCACAAGAAATGCCTTGTGTAGAAAAGATCTTAGCCTCCAATTTCATGGCTTTGTGGCACTTGAGCCAACATAGCCTTAATTCTGGTCTTATACTGGCAAAGTCTTTGAGTCATAACGTTTTTGCCTTCAGTCTCTCCAAATTGCCCAACATCTTCTCTCTTTGTTTTGACAATGATAGCATGAATGAGAGTTGGGCTATTTCACCATCCTAGCTATTCCCTGGTGCCTCTAATAACTGCTTTTTCTTTTCCCTCACAAAAGGTATCTTTCAAAATGTGATCCCACATCAGCTCTGTAGAACACGAATGGGCTAACGCCATTATGTTTGTCAAGCTGGAGTACTTAACCTCAGGCCTATAGGCCAAATCTGTCCCACTTGGGCTTGCCAATCTAGTCTTCCAGGGTACTCCAGATGGCCGTGCCCCAGGTTCTTCTGCAGTTTTATCCCCATTCTAAGGGTATTCCTGTGCCTCTTTAGACAGAGTTATACTCCAGCATTCCCTAGCCAGCACTGTTGGCTGGGGAATGTGGGGAGTTGTACAAGCTTTTTTCTCAGTAAATAGACATCAGGTTGCTCTATAAGGGCAATTCTTCTTGAAGGGGTGAGCTTTTCTGCAAGCAATCCACTGACCATCTGTGGCAGCTGCAAAGAGATGCCTTCCCCCTCTAGATGGAGGAGTAGGTGCAGCTCTTTAGCCCTGATAACAGCATCTTAGATGTGCAAGAAAAAGGAAATGAACTTTTCATTGTCTCTGTGCAAGGAAGGGATTTCACTTCTCCCTCCCCATGGTGGTCCCAATCCAGATCAGGGTCCCATGTGTCCCACGTACCTCTGAGCAAAGAAAAACACAAAAGGACACTATGTGTCGTGCAATTAACACAACATGCAATTTTACCGTCTCTCTTCCTGTCCTTCATTCAAACTTTACCTGCCTGCTACTGCAGCCTATTTCTGAACACCATATATAGGGTTACATCCCTGTCAATTTACTACAGCCTTTCAGAGATGTAGCTCTGTGTAACCTACTGTTGAAAGCAAAGCCTCATGGACAGTATTGCATATCTCTGTTGTAGCCAAACTGAACCCAAAGGTCTGCAGTTGCTTTCCTGAGAGAATCCGAGGTCTGGTATTGAGGAAGCTGAACCAGTTTGCAGCCTTAATGAGGCACCACATGTCATGAGTCAAGCACTGGGCTCCCAGCCCCATAAGGGTCTCATTACACCAAAGCAGTGTAGACTGTGGGGAAGGAATCTGCAGGAGAAAAATCCAGGCATTAACATTTTTGCCCATTGACTTTCCCCCTGCAACTCCACCTGCCAGTTTTTAATAGATTGCCTCTGCTGCACTAGCCATGGAAACTGGGGATTTGGGTGCCCTTGGGGATGCTTGCACAGATAAGCAGATCTGAGCATTGCTTTGCTTCTGCTTATGTCTCCCATAATGCTTCCACCATGACACAACTGCCTTGTGTGGTGGACTAGCTGGGCACCTCTCTGTCTGAAAGGTATGATGCTGTCGTTACCCCCTTCTTCTCTAACCCTGGGTGGGGTGAACCCCAGAGCTATGACGTAGACATCTTGAGGTGGTGACCAGCAAAGGCCTCCACTTCCAACCACTGGCAGGCAGCCTGCTTTCCTGTTTAATTCTCCAGAGGTTGAAATAAGTAAACCTTGGTAAGTGAGCCAGGTGGTTAGTCAGATGGGCTGGGGGTGCCTGGACAAGCCTCTGGTGCTCAGATCTCAGGTTCACATTGAAAAAAATAACTATTAAAGGAATTAAAAGAAGCAAAAAGTGAGATCATAGTAGTTGCTTGAACATAAACAGAGTTTAAAAGTTGCTTGTACTCTTTGAGGCAAAATACAGTGCAGGAGAAAAGTGCAGAACAGATGGAATCTTTTGGGTAGTTGGAGGAGGAGGAGGAGGAAACCAGAAGCCTTAGAAAAAAAGCATCCTCCATTGGTTTGATTTCACGAGGGGGAGAAATTAACTGAAGAATGTATTTTATTTGAGATTACTTGAATGAAAAATTAATTAGTTGGGGCTGCCTGTTGTGAAATAGTAATTATTGGTACATTTATTTCTTTACATTGGTACATTTATACCAAATTAGCTTATTTAGGTATAAGTTAGAATGTACAAATTTTGTGCTAGGTAGCATCCTACTGGATTCCCTCCCTCTGACCCAAAAGTCCTTCAGCTAATCAGTGATAAAACCATCCTTTAGGGGGTAATAAAAACATGACCATCCTTTCTCTCTTTCTCTCCCTCCCCCTTCCTTTACCTTCTCAGGATGAAGATGAGACGCCACAAACTCTTTCTGACGCTGTGCATGGCTGGTCTTTGCCTCATCTCCTTCCTTCACTTCCTGAAGGCCCTCTCCTATGTCACATTCCCCAGGGAACTGGCATCGTTGAGCCCCAACCTGGTCTCTAACTTTTTCTGGAACAATGCACCTGTCACACCTCAGGTCAGCCCAGAACCTGGAGGTCCAGAGTTTCTGCGGACACCCCTGTACTCCCATTCACCTCTGCTCCAGCCCCTCTCCCCAAGTCGAGCCAGCGAGGAGTTGCACAAAGCTGAGTTTGTGCTGCCCGAAGACTCTACGGAATACTTTGTGCACACCAAAGCTGGCGGAGTGTGCTTCAAGTCAGGCACAAAGGTGCTGGAGAAGCCACTTGTGGGCCGGCCAGAGGAGAAGCTCGAGGAAGCTGCTTCCGGGCGCCTAGGCCGGAAGCCTTTGAGTGCCAGCGGGACAAAGCGACGCAAGTGGGTGGAATGCATGTGCCTGCCTGGCTGGCACGGGCCTAGTTGTGGGGTGCCTACTGTGGTGCAGTACTCAAACCTCCCCACGAAAGACCGCCTGACCCCACGGGAAGTGCCACGGAGGGTCATCAATGCCATCAATGTCAATCATGAATTCGACCTCTTGGACGTGCGTTTCCATGAGCTGGGTGATGTGGTAGATGCCTTCGTGATCTGTGAATCCAACTTCACCGCATACGGGGAGCCGCGCCCTCTCAAGTTCCGTGAGATGCTGCTGAATGGCTCCTTTGACTACATCCGCCACAAGGTGCTCTATGTCTTCCTGGATCACTTCCCCCCAGGGGGGCGCCAGGATGGCTGGATTGCCGATGACTACCTGCGCACCTTCCTGACACGGGACGGCATCTCCCGGCTCCGCAACGTGCGGCCCGATGATGTCTTCATCATTGATGATGCAGATGAAATCCCAGGCCGCGATGGTGTGCTCTTCCTCAAACTCTACAATGGCTGGACGGAGCCCTTTGCTTTTCATATGCGTAAATCCCTCTACGGCTTCTTCTGGAAGCAGCCTGGCACCCTGGAGGTGGTTTCCGGTTGCACTGTGGGTATGCTGCAGACTGTTTATGCCATGGATGGGATTCGGCTACGCAGGAGGGAGTACTATACCATGCCAGGCTTTCGGCAGTATGAGAATAGCACTGGTCACATCCTGGTGCAGTGGTCCCTGGGTAGTCCGCTCCACTTTGCTGGCTGGCACTGCTCTTGGTGTTTCACACCTGAAGGAATCTATTTCAAACTGGTGTCAGCCCAGAATGGGGATTTTCCCCGCTGGGGGGACTATGAAGACAAACGAGACCTGAACTATATTCGAGAACTAATCCGGACTGGTGGGTGGTTTGATGGCACCACCCAGGAGTACCCTCCTGCAGACCCCAAAGAACAAATGTACGCTCCCAAATACCTGCTCAAGAACTACGAGCGGTTTCGTTACTTACTGGAGAACCCTTACCAGAAAGCTGAGGGGGCCGGGTGAGGGCGGTGGGGCTTGCATGGGCAAATGGGACCTTATGGGAAGAGGGGACAGTGAGGTGTGTCTTTTGGTTTTCCTTCCTTCCCCTGCCCCCTCCTGCTGGGCAAGCCTCCATTCTCTCCAGCCTCTTGTCTGCCCCATTCCCAGAGAGAGACATGGGAGTGTGCAGTGTGGGGGAGGGATTCCTAGTCATGTGAATGAGGGCCAGAGGAAGCAGGAGCTGGCCCTGGGAACTAGCTGGAGGGATTGCGCCTTCACCGCTCTTGCAGGATGGAAGTGAAATCTTAAGCAGGCAGCACTGGAGTGGGGCAGACACCGGGACTCGTTGGAGCATGCAGCTGGGTGTGCTGAAGCTGTGAGGTTTTTTGTAGCTTAGGTGAGGGTGGTGTCACACTCCACTCGTAAAAGCCCATTTGCTTCAGAGTTGCTTGAAATTGATGATTCTCTCTTAGGCAGCATTCTCTGAACATTACAGCTACTCAGTAGGGCTTACTGAAGGCGTGCAGGAGTTTGAACTCTTCTTTCCTTGGTTATTTTGCTGAGCAGGTGGTGAAGCAGGGCGGAAGAGAATGCTGCCTCGGGGCACAGCGTTCTTCTTAGATGCTTGGCAGCTTCACCAGGAGGCATATGAGTAAGAGAGGATTTTGGTAGGTGACATCAGGAGCTGGGCTCATCTGGATATGTGTATTTTTGCCATATGTATTTGTCACTTTAGGGTGCAAGGGCGGGTGCACACTCCACCTGGAAACATGGCAGCACCAAAGAACTCTGTTTTCCATCTCATGATTTAATGAACATTCAGGGAAACTCTACAAACTGGCAGCATATGAAGGTTGAAAAGCTGCCTGATTTTTGCTTTGTATGTGCATTTTTTTTCTTTTGGTAGCCAGCCTCTTAATGCGGAAGCTGGATGATATTAGGGCCAGTAGCCCACCAATTTCCAAGGGATACATTCATTGTGGACACAGCTCCCTCTTCAACAGCAACGAAAAGTGATGTTTACATTTTCAGCTCAAATGGGATGTACTGAATTGCTTCTAAGGAAAGGAGACATTAGGACAGTAAAGCTCCAGTGCCCATCCTTCTGCTTCTGAAACAGGAGAGGTGTAAAGGTACTTGGCTCTATGATGCCACCATTTTGTGGACAATACTTTATAAGTTGGTCTAGCTCTGGCATACCTATAAGGTGGTTTGCAGAGGGGGAAACGGTGTATGTTTGATGGAACTGGTGTCAAAGCTCTCTAGTTCAATCCAGGTGACAAGCATGTAAGTGTTCCACTGATTTTCGCATCCTTTCTCCTTCAGTTAAATGGTTAAATGTGTTTCCAAATCAGTCTATGGCATTTGTGTCTCTAAGGCAACGTAAAAGGTATCATAAAACATATGTTTGCTGCTAAGTAAATATAATGAAACAGTGAGCCAGGGAACAGTGAACGCTTACTGCAAGAAATGGATGATGCATGTGAGGTAAGAAGAGGAACCCATGCTACCAAAAAGAAGTATATCTCTGGCATGTGGTATTCTTTCCCCTCTCATTCCCCTAAGCTTTCACATGCTTTCTTGCCCTTCTTCTCACCCCAAATCCTGTAGAAGATGCCTGAAGTGCTCCACTACATGTATACCAGCCTTTCCTCCGGATGCGCTAGATTGCAACTTCCGTCATCCCTAACCAACATGGCTAGGGATGAAGGGAGCGGCAATAAAGTACATCGGGAGGACACCAGGTGGAGAAGGCTGGCGCACACTGTTGTCTTTCTTTGCCTGCATGCTCTTTGCCTCCATGTTTGCACGCCACCATTTTCAGTGATGGATCACCCTCCTTTTTGGTGCAGCAACTGCTTTTGTAATTGCGCTGCTACGTCAGAGCCATAGTTCCTCTTCTGGAGCATGGTCTGAGCCAGGGGGACAGGACCTCTACCCTTGGCGTTTGTGAGATATTGGAGAATTCCTTGTACGAACTCAAGTCCTCTAGTGTTGGCTGTGCCATGTGAAAAGGTTGTGTGGATAGACCCACAGTCCTTCTTAAATGAAATCTGTCCTTTTTTTGTTAAGGGGCTTCAGAACACCACTGAAGCCCTTGTCATTTTTTTCTGCTTGGATGGTGAAGGGTGAACACTTGTGCACTCCTGGTCAGTGTCAACTTCCTGCTTACCCTGCTGGACCCCTGGTCTGTGCAAGAGCTCCAGGCTGACCCATAGAACAGCCCGTGTAAGTGTGTTGCCCAGTTGAAAGGAGAGGGTTTCTCTGCCTTGCTGGGCCCTGTGGAGAAAGCAGTTGTGGAGCTTCCAGTGCTTCGCACAGTCCTCAGTGCTTGCATGGCAATAGCAAGTGGTGAGAGAGTGCAGCTCGCGAGGCATCAGGTGCCCAGCAACTTGCAGCCAGAAGACACTGCCCAGGGGGAAGGAGGGAGTGGGAAATGGGAGTGGTGGCTCCTAACCCTTCTGCTCCCAACAGCCTGCTCCTTCACTCCTGGTGGGGCAGAGGCACACTCAGGCTGTTGCTTTTTGCTGCATGTAGGGCCTGGTTTTGTATGCCTGTGGTCAATCTTGAGAACTGGGTTCTGATTCCAGGAAAATGCCCAGCTGAGAACTGACCACCAAGGGGGAATACTTTCCCCACATCATCAGTTCCTCACTGTTTGCTTGCAAGAAGGCTGTGCCCTGCTCCTCGGTTCATCTTTGCCCCTGCACTCGCTTAAGAGGGAGTGTGTGGCAGGCTGCCTGCCTTGCACAATTACTGTCCATGAATTCTTAATGCTTCCATCAGTGCGGTTCCTCCAGGCCCCATCTGTCACCAGCTGAAGTACTACGCAGGGAGGCAATTCCTAACTCCCCCCACCTACCCATCCTTGCTGCTGCTGCTGTTCACTCTCGCTCTCTGTCTTGTTCCACCCCCCTTTCCCCTCTTCCTTAGTTTTCCTCCCTTCCTTCACTGTTGTGTACAAGGAACAGATCCCACTGTAACTGGATAAGTTAGCACTGAATTCCTTTGGGAGTCTGAAAGAACGCTTTGTTCAGGTTGCCCTTCTCTGACTGCACCAAAGTGAAACTTGAAACTGACCTCTGTGGGGGGAGAAGAGACTTTTACAGTAAAGCTTTGCTTAAACACTCCTTACCCACTATCATTGTTTGCATATGGTGAATTTTAAAAAGCAAATTCACACACTTCCCCTTTAAGGGCCATCTATTTAATTATTTATTTTGTAGCTAGAACCTGCTTGGGTGGAAGTGGCATAGCAGAACTTTGCACTAAGGAAGAGCCTTTGGGCTTCTGCAGGCAGGTGAGGGGGAGGGAGAGGATGTGACATGAGAAAAGGCTCATGGGAACTATCTCAGCGACCCAGTATTTTAAGCACCTGACTTTTGTACAAAGAGAATGGAGCTGACTTGTGCACTCATGAAAAATATGGCATTCGGCTTGAAGGAGCTATTGAGAATTAGCGAGTCAAATCTTGTGTGCATAAGTGATAAGTAGAAGACAAGAATGCTTTCATAAACATCAGGGGAGAGCCCTTTGATGGTCCAAAAGCCTGCACTAGTTCAGGAGGCTTTTGATATCTTGGGAAAAAGCAGATCAATTAGAGAGTGCACAAGGCCTCTACCCTGGAAGTGCAGCATTTTTCAACCTGGTGCCTTCCCAGTGTCAAATTGGCCCCTAACTCCATCTGTTCCCAGCAGGCAATTACCATGCTGAATGGTAATGGTGGAAGCTGCAGTCTGACATATCTAAAGGGAACGATTGGGGGATGTTGGGGACGACTGCCATGGGGCATCAATAAGGTCCAGCTGGTATTGTACAGGGAGTCAAACATTCCGTGCACATCTCTGCAGGTGCATCTAGATGTGGGCTTGGCATGGTGAGGAAGAGAGCCTCTGTGTACTGGAGGAGCTGCGTTGCTGCATGAGTAAATGGACTTCCACTACTTCCTCTACCAGCTTTTTCATTTATGATCCATGTTGACATGTGCACAAAAATTGTGCTTGAAGTTGCAGCCGCAATGATATGCAATAGGATAGTTTCCCACTTAAATGTTAGCAGTGTTCTTCCACTTACAGTGCAGAAAGGGACCGAACTGTTTTTGCTGTGTACTTAACCTGTAAGTGGGCCAATGACACAGTAGCCACAGCAGTACTGGCATCAACATGGGCATGGCATAGAAGGGAGGTCTTGAAGGCCTGGCTAGACTCTCTCTCCTTCTCCCCATAGCCATCCTCTTCTATGCCAGCCCCCATGCACACCTGCGGGAGGTGGGGCTGTCTCTCTCATTGCATTACAACAACAGTCCTGTTTGTCCCCTTTCTAGCTGCTGTGCAGCCCCACTTATCCCTATCATGCTTTTAATGGGGTTTAAGACCTGGATTCTGGCTGGGAACAGCATCTATGTCTGGTAGCTGGTGAGGGGAACCCACTTTGTAGCCAGCATCTGGAGCGTAATGTCCCATTGTTCAGGGAAGCCCTCTTTCCTGCAGTGCCACCTTAATCCTTAACCCCTTTAAAGCCTGAACCAGGCAAACTGAGGTCAGAAAATTGTTCCTGGATTGTACCTCTTTGAATGCAGATGTGATACTGACAGCTGCTCCTTCACACATAAAACCAAGCCAAACTTCACTGTGTGTAGAAATATGGATGTTGAGGGAGAAGAACTATACACTATACACTTTTCTTAGATATTCTAGTCTGTATGAATTCCACTCCTGCCCCATTGCTTCCCATGGGGAAGGTCTCCACCCTGCAACTTGCTTTCCTGTAGTTTAAAATGGTACAGTCCAGGAAGAGTTTTACCATCTTACCTAAACTCTTGCTATGAACTAGGCATTAGAGAACAGCAACTTTAACTTATCTTGAGTAGCCATTCACCGTTTGATCTTTTGCACAATACAGGCAGCAACTTATGTGATTTCTGGCACTAGCAATTCTCTAGTTGTTTTCTTCACATTAATTCTCACTCATGTTCTCTGTGACTTTGGGGGCTCCTCACACTGTATCTAGTTAAATGAGAGCAA